GCCCGGTGTTACAAACTTTAGGTTCTGTTTGTTACCACCAGTTATTCAGATTTCGTAACTTTTTCATTATCATGATTGTGTGATTGGCACTGAAGTATTTTTGAATGATGTGCCCGATTCATGAATTCAAGATTATTAAAAAACTGACTGTGTCTGCAATTATTTCTAACACACCTGCAAGATTGCGTGTACTTTGCAAGCATTGCTTTATCGTCTTGCATCAAGGAAATAACAAAACTTATATTTTACAGATGAAGTCCATTGCTATCACTACGTTTTATAGCAAGCCACAACCACGTCAGCATCCAGACCCAAACTCTAGCTACTCCTTAAGGTGAGAGCATTTGTCAGATTGCACCAGAGGCGTGAAAAACCAAATGTATCTATTGTAAACAGTGCAAAAGGACGGCTTTTCACCGTGAAAGCGGAGCTCAAGCTCCCGTGAAAATAACTAATAATAAGTGAAAATACAATAATGATATGCTGGAGGGCGACCATTCTGAGCTCGGCAACTCGGGCATGCGTGTGACAGAATCACGCATGGAGCGCAGCGCGCCGGTGTCACCCATTCAGCACGCCGCCCAGCGCTGCGCGGAGGCGTCACCCGCTCAGTACGCCGCCCAGCGCGGTGCGGAGGTGTCGCCGCTCAGCACGCGCCCCAGCGCGGCGCGCCGGTGTCATCCGCTCAGCACGCCGCCCAGCGCTGCGCGGAGGCGTCGCCCGCTCAGTACGCCGCCCAGCGCGGTGCGGAGGTGTCGCCGCTCAGCACGCCGCCCAGCGCGGCGCGCCGGTGTCACCCACTCAGCACGCCGCCCAGCGTTGCGCGGAGGCGTCGCCCGCTCAGTACGCCGCCCAGCGCGGTGCGGAGGTGTCGCCCCTCTCAGCGCGCCGCCCAGTGCGGCGCGCCGGCGCCGCCCGCTCAGTACGCCACCCGGCGGGGCGGGACGGCGTCGCCCGCTCAGCGCGCCGCCCAGTGCGGCGCGCCGGCGTCGCCCCTCAGTACGCCACCCGGCGGGGCGGGCGGCGTCGCCTACTCAGGTCACCGTCCAGCCCAGTACCACGGCGTCGTCCGCCCAGTCCAGCGCGGAAACGAGACCAGCTCGACGCGATCTGGAAGCGACGCCCACCCGGCGCCGTCCAGAGATGACACCCACCCGGCGCGATCACAAGCAACTTGCCAACCTTGAGTATTCGGTCCGACATAAGGGAAGAAAAATCAGGGAGCTTGGAGGAAGCTGCTAGCGTTTACAGAGTGGGTGTCACGTGTCGGCCAGCCCAAATTACATCCCCTCACCACCTGCAGTCTCGCAGATTTTGGACGACGCAAGCATTTCCCTGACTGAGTACTGTCGGTTAGCGTCCATCGCTCCCAGCCTGCCACGCTTACACCGAATCAGGGCTGAGCGCAAGAGATGAGATGATCGGATGACTTCCCGAACCTTTTATTGCCTTAACTTGTGCGGGTCTTTTTGCGCGAGTAAGTTTAACGACATCTTCCCATTTTATTCAAGCCGAATACGGCCTATCCAAACGTGTGCCTCTGTTGCAGGGAGCCAGTCTTCCTGTATTTTCACCCTTAATTGGCTGCCTACAAACTTTGTCGGATGTATGGTGACTCACTTTGCATGGTTTCGCTTCCCCAGGCTGAATCGTGAAATTGAGGTGAACGACAAGAAAAATCACATAGTTCGACGGAAAATTAAAGACATCTTGTCTTTGCTACCGCCGTCGGTGAAGAAAGACCCGGACGGCACGGTTCGGGTGAAATTGTCAGCTAAGCTCATGCTGACAGTAAGTGAAGGCATATCTATTTACAGTGTCGTTCAATAGGTTTATGTCACAGAACCAGGTTTTGTGACTCATCTTGCCATTTCGTACCTTGCTGCTCCCGCTGCTCTGGGCTATAGCTTTTTTTCTTGAACGTGGCTGATATGACCATATTTTTTGTCCGTACATGTAACGTTGCCTTCTAAGTATCCAGCAAATTTGCCATACAATAATTGCAAAAAGTTCAGCTAAATGTTGATCAAAACGATATCTCGTTACAGGAGATGGTGCCCCGGTGTGGAAGTATGGGAACTTCCTAACATTCTTCCTAACATTCTCTAACATCCTCGTTGACGAGCCAACTCCAGCGCTGCGCCGACCACAGTTGCTCGGCATCAGTTCAGCGACAGAAAAATACGAAGCTCTAGAAGCGACTCTAAGAGACTTAAATGCTGAAATCGAGTTTCTCCAAAATAAAGGGTCTTGATATCGATGGAACTCCTATAAAACTCACTTTTTATTTAGGCGCAGACTACAAGTTTGTCCTCCTTGTGTATGGCACGCAGGCCGCGAACAGTAATTATGCCTGCGTTTTCTGTAATGGCCAAAAGGTGTCAATATTGAAAGGCGGGTGAATGGCGCGTTACGCTCTGCCCCCCAGGTCAGTCTGGTGTGGCGCGTGACAATTTGTTACCCGCGATCCCGCTGCATGCGATTATTATCGATGAACCACATATGCATCTCCGGACTTCAAACTCCTTTCATCCATCCGACGCGAAATTCCTGAGAAAAGAGTTCAGGAGTTTGTCAGCGCACATCAGGGCAAAATTACGTGCCGAGGCAAAATTACGCTTCGAAATGGCAAGGCAGAGTTCAGTAATTTAGATAAAGCGGACCGCCAGAAAACCATTGCGCTTTTATCTTCGTTGTCATGCTTGGAAGACTTTCTCGGACGGTAAAGGGGCACACAGATGGGAATGTTGCTTCTGAAATTTGTCAAGGTGATGCATCCAGCCGCCTCAAGTAACGACATGGATACTGTTCAGCGTGAGACTGCGACATTGCTGAAAATGTTCCCTTCAGTCTTCCAATCTTTTATGATCACACCTTATTTTCACATACTGTTTTTTCATGCTTGGGAAATCACTGGTCGAGTTGGTTCGTTGCAATGGTTTACTCCACAGCAGGTTGAAAAAACTAAATCGTTCGGTCACTAATTCTTACCATCCCGCAACCAACTTCAAGGATGGTACGCGGCACGTCCTGTTGCAGCACGGCCGTCGGCTGCTAGCTGCCACCGATAATCTGACGTTATGTATGATCGTGTGTGTGTGCATGCGTACGCATAAGCGCGCACTATGTCATGATGACTGTGTTGTAAGCAAAGAAGATGTTTTGGCTTTCTGGACATAGTTTGGCTCTACATGTCACTGATGAAATGCTGAATGTTTTTCGTAAGAAGCTCCAAAAGCCAAACGTATAAGTTCCGCAAATTTGCGGAATCAAAGTTCACTTGATTCACATATACCACATACTGACAGTCCGTTGACCCGTCAATATGTGGTAGGTACCAAAAATGAACAGATGTCTAATGAAATGTATCCAGACGGCCACATTTGTTAGCAGTCTGAGCAAGTTTTGGTCATGCCTGATTTTTACACATCGTTTGTAGAATCAATCGGTCTCGGACCTGAACAATGCATGACCATTGTTTTATGGCCATGCCTATTTAGGCATAGGCATTGCCTAAAAGCCGATAAGCCGGATTTCATTGAGATAATTTGGTAGCAATAAGCTGTAAGACGTGCTTAAATATTCAAGTGGGACACTATTACTGTAATCACGTCTAAATGACCTGGGCAGTTTCTTCATTGATCGACGATAAGCTTTTCCTTGCACTAAGTCAAACGTATTGTTTATGCCACTAGACATCTTAAGCCAATGCTTTCTTTAGCCATTTGTGTTAACATGTCTCAAATGAAACGTGTTTTACTATTAAGGTGGCGGCGTTTGTAATTATCAGTCCCTTTCGAGCATCAGAAATGTTTTTGGCTTATGCTGTACACTCGCTGCCGCGATACTGAATTTACGATGACAAATGTATGGGCACCAAAAGCAGCTTATGTGAAAGCTTTTGGTGTGCGCTTGGCCCCAACATGTCAAACATTGAATGCTTTATTTCATCTTGGTGGGGCATTATCAATTTTACGTCCTTTTCTGCAATGCTGGACACTTTCAGGCCAAACAGCGCAGCAAAATGCTGGCTGCTTAGTGAACTAACCACTCCAAAAGCAGGCTAATGCATCATTCTGCTCCTATCCAATTAGTTTAGCAGAAAGCTTGTTTTATTGTTTCATATTCCAGTGGGGCATTTTTGCTTCTTCTTATACCTTTACTTAATTTGATTATCATAATGGGATCATGATGGCTAATTTGGGCTGCTGCATGTCAGTTAGGCCATAACTTTCCAGCTTACCCATGTTTTATGCATACTTGAACTCAATACAAAAAGAGTGTTGATTTATGAAATTTTGGAGACTGCGCAGTCCTGCGTAAGTCATTGCTTCATTTTATATTCAATAAAAAATACTGATTTATTTAGTTCCAACTGTCACCAGTGGTGGCCCTAGTGGCGCTCCACCGCAAATAGGCCGCGGCTGTTTCGTATCTCTGAATCAACGATGACGTACTATCACAAACGCTGCTATCCAAAAGCGATGCCGCAGCCCGTGCAGTTGAACATACGACTGACCGGACGTGCAACGTTTGCGGAACCACTAGAGGTGAAACACTAGGGTGGTATGAAACCATCATCAGCCGGCTGTCACGTGGTTAACGTTCCCAGCATACATTGCATTAAGTAGGTTATTGGAGGCCAAAATCGATACCCATGACAAGAATAACTTGTGATTATCTGACCTCAAAATTTCGAGTATCTAGGTCATAGGCTATTGCGACGAGGAGGGTCCCAGTTCCAAATGTTTTGCGCGCATACAGAGGTCTACACCCAAGCAATAATCACAATCTTGGTAAGTGTAGACGGCTTGCGTGTTAAATAAAATATTTCGACGTCTGTGTGCAGCTCATAAGGCTGATAACTTGAAGGCCGCCATGGTACTGGGATACCAATCTAGTACCACGCAAGCGCATCTTGCATTATGGTTAAACCTATCGGGTCATCAGCAGCATCCCACCCGCCCACCCTCATTCATCTCCAGTCGTGGACGTCATAGGGCAGAACCGCGAACACAACCTACCCCGCTAGCAATTACACCACCGATTTGTCCACATTTGGGGCAAACGCTGGGACCAACCCGACCAATGTGCAATGAAGGGCCTCGCCCTGACGGGGCCATCTTCGTGATCACGCTATCATCCCCTGTGCCAGGCAAGTATGAGTTAAGCCAGTTTGGTTATTGGATTAGCACCATTCGACCAGCAATGATCATTTCAGGGTTATGGGATGAAGGATATGGATGACGGCGGGGCGGAACTACACGTGCCTGAGGGGGGGGGGGGCGAGGGCAAATCGCCGAGCCTTAGCCCGCACAGGGACCCCTCTACGGGGTAAGCGCCGAGCGCCCCGGTCGGGGGTCCCCTCAAGGAGTCTCTCGGCCAACTCACGGCTGGCGTACGCAGCCTGCCCGGACAAGCGGGGCGTTGTGAAGATGCAGAATGAAGCAAGCGGACTAGTGAGGACAGGATGCTGTGCGTGTCACGTTACGTTTGTGCGACTTACCACGGTACGCGACAGCCATGTTTATTCTGTTCACATCCGCCATTTTCGTTATCCAGACACCCTGCCGCTGACATAGATTGAACTTCAAACATATGCATACCTGTAGTTGAAAATCATTCACAAATTTCCTTGGAAGTAAACACGCAAAAAAAAACAACCTACAACGCCATTTTGTGGCATCGCGATGACCTTCAACCAGTGAGCAAACGCGTGTCAGCAGCTAATACCATATACCAACATAGCGTCGATGCTCTTTCGCACCTAACGTATGCAAGAAAAAGCAGCATGATTAAACATGCTACTAGAAAACGGCATAAAACTCAAACGCAACAAATTCCTACTTCTGACCGCCACCTGTCGGGCAAACGAATACCTCTGGTGCCCAGGTTCCTACCCAGGGGCCCCCATGCCAGAAGATCGCATTCGGTCGGCGTGACTTGCTAGACGCGTTTCCCAGCGGGTGGGAAGCTTCCAATTTAGTTGGGTGAGCTTTGGCCCGCTCCCACTTGTAATCCCCAAACTTTGGAGAAAAACGTGGGCCAAACCCCGCGGAAAAAACCAGTTTGTCGACGCATTTTAAAGTTTTGTCATGTTCTCATCGCTCACCTTTTCCCAAACTCAATTTGAGAAACTGCACCCCTGGCTTGAAGTTATATGCATCATAGTTGCCAAAGTTTAAGAGCCACACCAACTCACCGTGAACAGGCATGAACGGTTGATAAATTCGCTTATGCACTTATTTAAAGGGCAGATGTATGGTGGCCACACCAACGCACTCGCACCAAATCCTTCAGGACAGATTACTTATTAAGCAATGGTTATTCAACAGAAAACAACTGTCTATGTAACTAGAAATCAACGATAGCGAAATAAGAGCAAACATATCATTTCACCAGATCTGCGTAAGATACAAATTCTTCATAACCCATTGGCCATTAATTACTCTGGCTGAATAATTCAGATCTGATAAAAATTTTGATTTTGTCGTTTGTGAAACAATTCTTTCTTGATGTACACACCTTGTTCGATGATTCGGTCGATTCAAATTCCCCCGCAATCTTGACATCGCCACACATGGCTGGACTAGCTGCGATTGATATCGGTCGCCGACCGCGGCTACAACCAGTGTCGTCTGCTGGTGGGTCCCCGTCGACACGATTCAAATTTCCCCGAAATCCAGTATCCAATCTGGTCTGTTGGTGGATTTACCATCAAGCGATCTTAACGGAACACACGCACACGCCGACGCTACCACATACACACAACATATCGGCGAAGGGTTCGTGTTTGCCAACTCTTCATAGTGTGTTCAGTAAACGGCGACGTTTTCCGGCATTTGGGGCAAGAACGGAAATATTAGGACAGATGAATGAAAAACGGCGGCATCACACGACAGTCTAGTTGGTGCTGAAATGCTGGATTACGTCGAACACAATCGCCCAACGACATACGCAATAAAGCCATGATGGCAGTGCCACGTAAAAAAACGGAAGGCTGGGACTGAAAAAGGAGCAGCATCACACTCGTCTACATCCAAATCAAATACCAAGATGGGGCAATAATAATTCCCACGTTACCCTTGCAATCATTAAGACTTCTTAATATCGAGGACCGCAACTGGGGGATCATTTCCACGTCGAAAGCTGGCAAAGCCAATGAGCTTCAACGCCACCAACCGCACGGTAAACCCCTTTGACATGTCAACGCACCACCTTCACAACGCACGCGCAACCAAGGAATAGGACATTGCACGAAATAGTACTTAGCTAGACGAAGACTTTTGCAAGGAATAGTACTCACCCCAAGCCTCCATCTTATGACGGCACAGGGCTTGTCCACTGCCAACTGCTCTCATTTGAGATGCCCGGCACACATTCCCAAAGCCTCGGCGACTGGAGTCCTGGCGGCGGCCTCAGGGGTGCTCGTATCGCACGGGCGTTTTCACCCCAGGGGTTCATAGGGCCGACCCCAGTGACTCAATGAGACGGTTGTTTGCCGCCTGACCCATATCACAGAACACAAGGACAGGACCCCAGCAATAAACGCGTCGGACCCCGCCGGCGTTAATTGTAGTGACGCCTCTGGCGCGGTGTCAGTTGACGCGCTCCGCTCCCCCGCCCATAACGGGGGCAGGAGGGCGGGGCTGGGGTGGGGAAATGTGCGACTGCGCAGGAGACGCGCGTCGGCCATGCTTCGTCTTTCCCTCCCCCCCCCCCCTCCCCCTCCCCCGAGCCCGCACCGCGAGGGCCATGGCGGTGCGGTTGGGCACTGGCGAGACGTAACTGAGTGCGAATTCCGATTAAAGCTGCCACTTCCTTATTTGCAATATCCTCCCCGCACCAAAAAGAAAGCCCGTACTCGTTTCAGAAGGCAGGCGTCCCGCAAAAAGCGCGCATGGTTCCGCCAACCTTACTTTTCATCCCAGACACACATGCACAACCGCATTACAGGTGTCCAAACTTGCCCTTGCCTGGAACTTGACTCTTTTCAAGAGACTGCTAAGGCACCAACCAAAAATGCCATCCCCTTGGTCCCTGGCGTAGCTTTTCGTTGTCCATGACAAAACTCTTTTGGTCCTTCAAAACGCTCTTCAAGAGGAACCAGAGACCTATACCCTGAATGACAAAAAAATCAACAACTCCACATTTGGTATCCTTCAGTGGAAAAGGCTGCTCTAGACAACAAAATTTCTCCGTACGTAAATATGCTCCTCGATACTTCATTGTTTCATGTGTCATTGTACCTTGCACAATACTGAATCAGAACCAAATGACGGTTGTTACATCTGGAAATCGTATCACGGACGCCCGAAATGAATAATTCGATAATTATATTTTTATCGGCTTTGATCGACGCATCGCTAATGGGGAGACGGGATTTCATCGACGGTGCTATGGCGTTATGGGTGCCTCAGCCACCTTGAGATAACTCCCCGAACAAGTCTGTATTTTCGCGGGCATGTAGCCCAGAACTAGAGGGAGCTGGGTCTTAAGAAAGACAAGGCTGTTGACTGCGGAATGATCTCCCAGATGGCTATTTCAGTTGAGAACCCTATACAAATGTGGAACACTTTTAATGAAAACGTACGGATGTCTCGTGGCCACTAGCCTCGGCACTTTTATGACACAACAAGAAACGGAGGGTGGGCGCAGCACTTAATAAAGATGGGTGAGCCATAAATGATTCCAATCCCAAGTCTTCGCCAAACACAGCCGACGATCATTCCAATGTTATTAACAAGTATGAGCCCGTCCATATGCACACAGGCTCGTGCGATCTTGCGCATGAGCTCATTGAGCAGCTAACGAGCAACCTTTTCCCCATCGTGTCCTACAACGCGTTTATTTTAAAACTGTGCTGGACCGCTAGGATGGTTAAAGGGAGTGTCCCCCATTTGTGTCGGGTCTTGGACTGAAATAGCTATCCTGAAGCCATTCAACTACGGCTGAATATCGCCATACCTAGGCCAGGCCTCGCCTCACACTTAAACAAAACACACGGTTCCCAGCTCCAACTCACCCTCACGACACCTGGCATCGGACTCGTTGAATGTGACGAGTCTTCACTCACTGATCTACAGCAATGCTCCCCGACACCGCAATCTCACCGCGCCCCAGCACCCCACCACACCCCACGCGCACCCACCAGCACCGACGCCCCGCTCTCGACTGATGGCGGGAATCCGGGGCGGGAACAGCACGGGTCACGTGGCTTCCTGAGCCCGAGGAAATGTCGCTCTCTGATTGGTTGGGAGGTGGCGCGCGAGCAAATCATCCACGCAATGCGACATGGGCGTGGGAATGGGGCTAGACAAACGTGTAGCAAAGTGGGAAGGGGGGGGGGGGGAGGGCAGGGGGCCATGACCCCACTTTTCAAGGTGGGAGACCAGTAATGTTCACTGCCCCCCTCCACACACTTTTTCAGACTTAAGTTGCGTTTAGCTTACTTTGTGCTGCCTTAAACATGCATGCCGATTCAGCTAGTTAACCATCATCCTCAAAACGTCCCGGACGCAATTGCCTCATGTGGTAAATGGCGAGATCCAGGCGGCATTCATTATACAATAGTCCATGGGATATTTTTAAAGCGGCAGAGCTCAGATGCTTTGTCAGCATGGCATCTGTGTTGTTCAGGAATGTGAAGGACCTCCAAATGTTCATTGCAGATCGAAATGAACAAAGATCTGTACTAACATTGCCAAACCTGTTTGCCTGGAAATATTCAGTATTCATTCAGAATCGATTACTGATGAGCATTATGTAACGTAGTTTTCAGCATGCGCGTTGGCAAAGTTCATAGCAACAAAGCCTCGACTCTAGGCATTGCAGTCTCCGTGGACCGCGCGGCGCGCGCCTCCGCGGCTAACACTAAGTCATGACTAATGGGCGGACAAAGTGACGACGCATCTGAAAAGTACCTTTGATGCTTGAAGACACCAAATCGTACATTTAGAAGGTAGTCCGGGCAAAATTTCATCTGTGACACTTTTTATTGATGGTAAAATCGGATTGGCCTTTACAGCGCCGCGAAGTGGTGCTGGAATGCGGTTATGGAATAAGCAGAGTAAAAGTAGAATCTCTATTTCTCTTGCTGCTCAGGCTGTTATCCGTCCAGAGGGCAATTTCGAAGTTGTAAGAAAAAGTACGCCCAGTCTGCT